ATATAACACCACGTAGATAGTTCTGAAAAGAACTGCTTTTGCTGGTTGACGTTTCGATTGAGTTGCTTCAATCGTCTTCGGGAGAATAATATCTGCTAGACATAATATCTGCTAGACATCATCATTGATTTGTGCAATCAATGTTGGTATTAACGCACAGAATGTCGCTTGCACGCATTCACAACTTCATTTATTATTTCTTAATTTTATATCATATAATTATTGCTTACTTTTATTATATTTTCATATTCTGTTGATGTAAAGCGCATAAACTTGCGCTATATAATTATTGTTGTTATATTTGTTGCTATTATTCTTTTTGTTGTTGTTATTATTATTATTATTATTATTATTATTATTATTATTATTATTATTATTATTATTATTATTGTTATAACAAGTACTGAAATTCAAACCGTACAAAAACGCCGATGACGTCATTAACTATTGCCTATTTAATAAAGTGTACGGTAGTGTTCATGTTGTCAGGGATTCACTACCGGTAGTAAACCAGTACTTATGAGATGAGGAAGCCATTGATAGTTATGAAAAAAAAGTATCAGTATTATTGTACCAAAGCACTTATGACAATAAAGTATAATAGTTAAGAAGTAAAAAAATGTTATGCATTGATAATTATGCATTGCTGTAGACTTGTAAGTTTATGAACAGAAACAACTTGGAGGAACTACCCGTAGAAACTAGGGGTTTATTGGTTTTGAATCTTAAAGCATTTTTAAACGATCTTAAATTACATTTTAAATAAGTTTTACAATTTCTATATATATATATTTATTGTTAAGGCAAATTTTACAGATTTTAAGTATTATTTCAATTGCTCATTATTATTTTATGTTTAATCGGAATAGTGCATTAGGAGACATGATAGTGATTTGGTTCACTTTTAGGAATCCTGTCTCGGCCTGTTTCAAATTTTTTATGCTTTTATTTTGTTGTATTGTAACCGGTTGTTGTTTTTTATGTATTTTATTGAGACAAAATAAATGAAATGAAATGAAAAAAAAATCTTAGATCAGAAAATTAATAGTATTAATATTAATATTTACTAAGCTCATAGCAACGTAACGAGATTCGGAAGGCAACGGCAACATATGAGAAAACCTGGTGATGACTTGGACTACACGAGAATATGGTGTGAACTGCTTATTTTTTTAATCTTTGTAGATCACTTGCCATGTCATCGGATGTTGTTAATTTAATAGGAATTTTAAACAGGATCCTAAGCTAATTACTCATGCTCATAATTACTAATGCTTGTGTCGTCACATTTATACCATTTTGATTGGCTGTCCAGAGTGCATCAATATTGCGATGACATTGAATTTATTTCTAGCGGTCAACAAATCCGCAGGCAAGGCACAAGATTGCATACCAGAAAAGAGCTTAGGCCTACCGATTCATTTCAACCGAGACCCATGCAGTCTTAATTGGTGTTCACAGCAATGCATTTTACAGTATTTTGCCTTAAGTTTTACTTTTCGTTAAAAAAGAAGAATCTGTAAGTGTAGAACATTTCACACACTAGTTCCTGCCGCACTGCGAAATTACAGGAATGAGGTACGGTAACCTTTCTACACTCACAGATTCTTCTTAATCGGTTACTTCCACGCGGATTCGCATTCTCAGAGAAGCCCCACACCATAACCCAGTTAGACGGCGCATCCAGACAACAAAATAGGACTATTTATTTAATTAATTAATTAATTAATTTTGTATTTTTTTAAACATATTTATACAGGACACTATTTCAGACAAGATGTAAAAGTCTGTTTTTAAAAATAGTCATGTTTAAGACAATTATCATGAAATAAAAAATAAATATAGCCTAATAAGAATGGTTAACAGTACAATCATCACAAAACCCTTCAAAAACAATATATAAGTAGGCCTATATATATTATATATATAAGTATATATATATATATATTTTATTTATTTTTTTATTTATTTATTAAACATCTTTAGGCAGGATAACATATACAGGCGAGATCTTACCGCTGTTTTACAATATGGTCCTGCAAACACAAAGTACAATAACAACAACAAAAGGTAACCAGCACAGTACAATAAAATAAACAATAGTAAAAACTCTGTCTCTTATACACATCTAGATGTGTATAAGAGACAGGTGCATTAGGAGACATGATAGTGATTTGGTTCACTTTTAGGAATCCTGTCTCGGCCTGTTTCAAATTTTTTATGCTTTTATTTTGTTGTATTGTAACCGGTTGTTGTTTTTTATGTATTTTATTGAGACAAAATAAATGAAATGAAAAAAAAATCTTATATCAGAAAATTAATAGTATTAATATTTACTAAGCTCATAGCAACGTAACGAGATTCGGAAGGCAACGGCAACATATGAAAAAACCTGGTGATGACTAGGACTACACGAGAATATGGTGTGAACTGCTTATTTTTTTAATCTTTGTAGATCACTTGCCATGTCATCGGATGTAGTTAATTTAATAGGAATTTTAAACAGGATCCTAAGCTAATTACTCATGCTCATAATTACTAATGCTTGTGTCGTCACATTTATACCATTTTGATTGGCTGTCCAGAGTGCATCAA